TTCTATTCTGGTCAGCTGTTAGCAGGCTAACAAATCCAATTGCTAAATGGGACACAAAGGGTACACAAAGAACATTGATGCATCCTTTCTCCCCTATAGTGATGGCTGCGGATGAAAATGAACGGATCAGGTATACATGGTTTTCTGTTATTATTTTCAAAGTGGGGTATGTTATTTGGGGTTTCTTATGCGTAAAAATTTTTTGGGGCAATGGATGCAGAACTTAAGAGGGGGGTTCTAAGTAACTGTGTTGCACAGGAAGGGGACTATAAATATCTTTTAAAAAAAGAAAAAAAATAAAATCTTGTTTATGTTCTTCTGTGCTAATTTAAGTTTTCATCTTTCTTCCCCAAAAGAGAAAATAAATAAAGAAGGGTTTGCAGTATTTTTAGCATTATATGTTTGACTAACACTAGGTATAAAGACAGGCGACATGAGCAGAAAACAAACCATTTTGAAAATCTTTGGAATTCATTGCTGTTTAGGTTTCATTTGTCAATGAATGTAGGTTTTGTTGTGTTATGCCGTCTTGGTTTTTATTTTTACTGACAAGGTTTTTTGAATGTGCCACAGGATATGGAATTATGCAGAGGCTGCACTTCTCAACAGTTTTGACAATCATGATTTTGCTGATAAAGGAATTTCTAAGCTCTGCCTAGTGAATGAACTTGATGATAGTTTGCTTCTAGCCGCTTCATGTAACATTTACTGTTGTTTGTTGTACCTTCTCCTGTCAAGAGTGTTGTTGGAATGTTTACTTAATGCATTTGTGTTTGTGCAGTGGATGGAAACATTCGAATTTGGAAAGACTATACATTGAAGGGTAAACAAAAGCTTGTCACTGCTTTCTCTTCCATCCATGGCCATAAACCGGGCATGCGAAGTATGAATGTTGTTGTTGATTGGCAACAGCAAAGCGGTTATCTGGTATGGTATTCTCTAAGGGAATGTGGGGTGTTTTCCTGCCCCCTCCTCAAATTAACTACTACTCCAATTCTAAATGTAAAACCTATTTTGCAGTGTAACTACAAAATGGGTCTTACATTTAGGACCAGAGGAAGTACAATAAACCTAGATTTCTACCCCTATGTTATATTCATATGTTTTGATCTTATTCCTTGTTATATTTGTTAGTATGCTTCAAATGAGATGTCTACATTGCTTTGGGATCTGGACAAAGAGCAGCTTGTTAATACTATAGCTTCGTCATCAGATTGCAATATCTCAGCTTTGGTAAGCCTTACATTTGCAAGACAGTGGCAGTTATTTCTGGGCCACGACTGGTTCTATTGTTTTGGCATAACAATCAACCATATACTAAAGGGTGGACGGTTGAGATTTCCACACACTAGTTTCGATTCCTTAGATCTAACTTGCTAATTAAATCTGGAAATATGAGTTCTGACATTTTTATTAGGAATCATTGATTGACATTCATGTTTCTGTCATTTTGTTGATGTATTTATGTTATAGGCTGCATCTCAAGTTCATGGGGGGCAATTTGCAGCTGGTTTTGTAGATGGCTCTGTCAGGATTTATGATGTCAGGACACCTGAAATGTAAGCACCTCATATAGAAGATTCTTCCGTGATACAAATGTTGATGGGTTCCCAGCATGAGATTAAATTAAGCGGCATAAGCATCTGCAATATTTCTTTATTGTCATGGTTTATAATATGCACCTAGAAATATATTCTGCTTGTTGAATTTAAATTTTGTGAATTCAGAAACTTCAGTTTAGATATGCCTCAGTCTCTTACCTAGCTGTTTCTCTGTAATGACATCAATGTTTCTTAGGCTTGTCTGTGCATCACACCCACATACTCACGGAGTGGGAAGAGTTGTCGGGATTGGCTTCCAACCAGGTCTAGACCCGGGAAAGGTAAAATGATGATCTTTGCCAGTTTCATACTTTGTAAATTAACATGTATCATATAAATTTTAGGTAGGAATTGCTACTTATGGTCCATGGATTTTGTTGAAAATAATGATGACATCATGTGGCATTTATTTTTCCTTCAGATTGTTAGTGCTTCTCAGGCTGGGGATATCCAATTTCTTGATATAAGAAGTCATAAACGTGCCTATCTCACCATTGAAGCTCACAGGGGCTCGCTCACAGCTCTAGCTGTACATAGACATGCTCCAATTATTGCCAGTGGCTCCGCAAAACAACTAATCAAAGTCTTCAGCCTAGAGGGTGATATACTCGGCACAATTCGATACTACCCTACCCTAATGGCCCAAAAAATTGGTGCTGTGAGCTGCCTCAATTTCCACCCTTACCAATTATTGCTCGCAGCTGGTGCCGCGGATGCGTGTGTATCTGTCTATGCTGATGACAACACTCAAGCAAGATGAATCTACATGGTCTCCATGATAATTTTCGAGGCATCTAGCTGGTTCAAGAACATGCTTGAGGACTATCACGCATATTACCTGCAGTTGGATTACCATGTGATGCTTCTACAGTCCGCGGCCCGTGTGAATACATTTGGAAATATTGGTAGGGTGTTGCATTCTGCTAAATAGTGTATACGTTATATATTCATTAGTCTCCATTTGTTGAGCGTTGCACTCGGCGGGAAGAAAATCCTGCGTATTATGGTTGGAGGCTTAGGCGAATAATGTCAATTTGGTAAATGTGTGTATATATCCTCTTAATGTTGTTATTCTTTTCCTTGCTTTCTGTGTTATTTCTCCCTATTTTTCAATTTGTAAATTATTTGATGAATTCAGAATTCGTTAGTGAAAGTGTTTCTGACGGGTGATGGAGGCAGTTTGAGTCCTGAAAAATCCGGGCTCTTTTAAATTAATGGGCCCCAGTTGAAACCAGGGGGTAGTAAATTCCAGTCTTAGCCGAGTACTGGTTTTTACTGTTTAGGATCTTAGTTCACTTGTACTTCCTCACAAATTACTGCCCGCCGGCTACCGCCTTGGCTTTAGCAGGGGAGAGCATGTCCATCTGCCAAATGATAATTACAAAATAATACTTTTGGTTTTTAATATAAATGCTAATTTGGTATTTAATTTGATTTTAAATACTATTTCCTGTCTTTAATACAAGACTTTGTCTAATTTTTATTTTGGTTCTAAATATAATATTTTAATTCACTTTGTTTTTTATATTTAAGTATTTTTTTTAAAGATAATCTTTTTAATAATGACAGTTCTAACTATTACATTTAATTAGTAATGATATTTTAGGAAAGACAATACCTTTTTATTATAAATAACTCACTTATTTTCTTAATTTTTTTAAATTGGTCAATTAGTTTTTATAATTAGGATCAGAGATAGTATAAGATTTTAATTTAGTGTCTCATATTTATTTATTTTTTCAGAATAGTTTTTATAATAGTTGTACATATTAAATATTTCATAATTAGTAAAAATATTTTAGAGGAAACAAAATATCTATTGCAACTAATTAGTTCAACTAAGTTTCTTAATACTACCTCCTATCTTAATTATAAGAGCTAGTTAACTAATTTGAAGAGATTAAGAAAATGAGTCAGTTAGTTGTACTAAATATGTGTTGTTTTTTTTAAAATGTTTTTGCTAATCAAGTGTGTTGGATAGAACTATCATTATTAGAAGAACTATTTTAAGAAAAAATGTATAAATATTAGAGATAAAGTGAATTGAAGTCTTATATTTATGATTAAAATAAAAGTCAAATAAGATCTTATATTAAAGACTGGAGGTAGTATTATTAGATTAGTTATTTAATTATTATATTAAAAATTAGAGGTAGTAGTTTCTTTTTAATTTTTTTTTGGCCGAAATATCGTTATTTTGTTGTTTGATCGTATGGGTTTGCCTTGGAAAAGAGCCATTGGAGGGAGGTGGAAGGGTTGTTGCTAATATTTTAAAGAAAAACGCCATATAATAGACTTGATAATTTTCGATGGGGCACGAAATTAAATTTTAATTTCTGAGGCTGTTTTTCTGTCCCCACTGTTAAGGTTTATATAATATGATTTAATAATGGCTGGACCCAACTCTTAGTTTTTTTTTCTTTAAACAAAAACAGGGCAACGGAAAAATAATAATAAGTGAAAAATAACCTGATGGAATAAAAAATTATTTACTTAAATCATTTTTTATTAAACTAGTTACTAACATGATCAAAAGCGTAAAAAGTTGCTCAAGCATTGAAGCAGAATACTCATTTACTTAGCACATTTAAGGTTTAAACAGTTCAAGGTACTCTAGAGCAATGTCGAGGGGAATCGTATGCTTGGTGTGTGCAAGCAGACTGATATGCATAATTTGTTATAAGCACCATGCATGCTTAATGCTTGCTATTCACTTAAAGTGGCTTTAAGAGAATAAGACAAGCATAAAGTAAGTTTAGGGGGGAAAAAAACGAATAAATACTCTAAATTGCTATTGTACTGTCTAAATTGAAATTGATTTGTCATCAGACTGTACAACAGAAATACAATGAAACCCGAACCTTGACAAACACAATTCAAAAATATGTGAATCCAAATATAAAGTTGAAAGACTACTTGTCATTTAATTGAATGTGATGACCACGAGCCTAAAAAACTAGTTTATGAGAAGGATAAATTTTTGAACTTATAAATTACACAATACTTGTAAAGTTATCCAATATAGCACTCATAACAATACATCCTTTCTCAGGAGCCGACAACTTGATGACTTCACTTTACAGCACTTTACTCAATCTCCCACCAGTCAGTCCCTCTGGTGAGAACCCTCCATAGGTAGTCCTTCTTGTTAGTTAACTCTCAATGAAAATACCAATGTGATGAGCCAAATCTCAAAAGACTAACTTACTAGAAGGGAGAATCCTTAATCTTACAAATTACACAATGCTTCTAATGCTTTCAATGTGAGACTTACAACATTGAAGTGTAATTGATGCCAATGAAATTTCTGAGTTCACGTAAATGCTGCTCAGAAGTTCAAAACGAGCACCACAAGCATAGAGATCGAGAAAATGCTTAACTTCGATAAAGCAGAGATCGCAAAAAGAGAAACCACAAGAAACTAAATCATATGTGAAAGAATGTTCCAAGACTGTCGTCTGAGAGGCAGCACTCCAACTAAATACACAAAGATGGGTTGTGACTAGTGTATCTTTGATCATCTTAGACATAGAAAGGTGTCACTTTTTCATCCTATATAACTTACATGTTGCAAACGTGAAAAAGCTACCAATACTGATATACACCATATTCACATCACATGCTCGCAATCAAGAATTAATGTCTTACTTGCGCCCCCCAACCATACCTGGGCCCATTGTCCCTGACAAACTAGACGATGTGCCACTGCCGGTCATCTTAATCCTTCCATCTGTGTTCCCAAAAACATTCAGATCTTCAAACAATCTGTAAGATGGAACAAAGGGTTTTTGTCCAGGAGCACCAGTATTATTTGCCAGACCAGAATTTCCCCCGAGATCTCCAGTCAGAGCCGCGCTGGTTCCTTTAGAAGAAAACGAACTGTTATTTTGCAAGGCCCTGATTCCTTGTGCTGGTCTGTAAGATGCTGATGTGTTGGCTGGAGGAGTTGAAAACATATTAGGGGAAGATAAATGATTTTGACTGCTGGGGTAACCAGGCGTAGCAGCCCATGGTGGAGGAGGGTACGATGAGGGGTATTGAACATGTTGATTCTGCAATTGTAGCTGGTGCTGAGGTTGCAGCATTTGTGATGGTTGGGGTTGAGTTTGAGATTGAAAATGAGGCCGGGGTTGAGTTTGAGATTGAAATTGAGGTCGAGCTTGGGGCTGGGGCTGGGGCTGGGGCTGTAACTGTTGGGGTTCAGGATGAGGATATCTAAGATGTTGATTCTGAAACTGTGATTGCTGGGGTTGGAGTGAGGACTGAGGCTGAAATTGTTGGGCCTCATGTTGTGGATGTGGTTGTTGAGCGGAGGGCTGAGGTCTGTAAATATGTTGCTGGGATTGGGGTTGAGACTCTGACTTAGATTCAGGTTGAGCCCAGGGAACAACATAATTGCTAAAGGGAACATTTCCAGGATACTGGGGAGCATGGGGGTAGCCTTGTGTACTAGATGGAACAGATGTATCAGTTTGCTGGCTAGAGGCTGACAATGGAGGAGGCATGTGGGGAGATGATGATGGTGGTGGTGGTGGTGGTGGTGGTGAGGTGGACAGAGTGATACTCAGCAAGTCGATAATGTCCTGCTCTTTGGTAGTGCTAGCCGGTGTAGCCTGATCTACAATTGCCAATGCATTGGTTGGGACAGAGGCTGTGGGATCTGATGTTGAGCTGTTGGTTTCCAAGGTTGCTGAAACTTCATTCGTTCCATTTGTAGCATCTTTAGAAGGCACAGATTGTGCCTTGGAATGCCTGCATTGGTTGTCACAGGTTAGTCATGAATCGATTAGATGCATGATAGAACAATTCCACTTGGCAGTGAGCATGCACCATAATATGTTGCATCAAAAATCTTGTTCTAGACAAAAACCTCAACTACAAATTTCCGGTATTTCTCTTCCCAAAAACAAATCACAAGCTCATAACAGAGACATTCTAACTGAGTTGGACAGCATAGAATGCAGCATAGTGAAAGCATAGCGTAAATAATGCCTTGAGCAAGGCTTCCTGCTTCACCCAAATGAAACTATGAGTAAACTATAGCTTGTTTCATGCCAAACAATGCATCTAATATGTTATTTTCCTATAATTAGTTTGACTTCATGCAAAAGATTTTCCAATCCAAGCAAATCATTCACTTGGACAAGTAATAGATTCCAAGTTTCATATATGTTGTTAGGTATAAGCAACCTTCGAGCTAGCTGTGCGAATTCATCTTCTTCTTCCTCCTCCTCATCAATTTGGCCTTTTGTTACAGAATGAACTAGGACAGAAGAGTTGGCTTTAAGTGTTGAATCAGCGTCTCCAGGGATGGAGCTCCTCTCTTCCGTTGGACTGAAACTGGAAGAGCAAGCTTCACTTGACTGGGCAATAGAACTAGCATATTGGGATGGAAGGGGGGCACCAGAAGCTATTGCATCGTGCTTTGCAAGCAAACTCTGAATACCATCATTTAATTCAAGGCCTCGCCCAAGAAGCTCCTCATCCCTGCCATGTAACCAAGATAATAAGAATTATCCAAATTTTTACCATGGACAAAGGAAATTAATACAAATAAAATATGTAAAAGAAGAGCGATCTATAAACATCAAAGAACCACTAATTTTTTTGCGCATATCAGTATCTATCAAAGATGAATATGCACATATTCACACATTTTAGCGCAAGAATTCATCCAAGATATATAGAAACCATCAACTGATATCCCAATTATTGAATCTCTTCATAAAGCTCGTCCAAACCCACATCCCTCACACTGTTCGCACATTCTCTTGTAGCACTTGACTTTCATCTCTGCACAATTCCTTGCATAAACAAAACTTGACTCAGGAGCTGCTCCAAACTCTCATTCATCATTTTGTCAGGTGAAGGGTTCTCAGAAGCTTCACAAAACAAAACCCATGACCACCTCTAGTTCCCAAACGCAGAAACCAAATGTCTATTACTGTTTAGCTATCAGTCTCAAACTAAATCAAGCCTGTTCTATCTTTTCAAGTGTCAATGTTCGTGTCAGAAGCTAGATATCTTATTAGATACAATTTACTCAGTTCAACTTAAGAAAATCATAACTTCTTCAGTCACCTGCTAATCTATATCCAAATAAAAAACCAAAATTTCTTCCTGATGTTATGATTCGTACAAAAAATCCAGTCACAAAAACCAACAAGAATTAGTTCTAATAGAAAGGATTATAGTCCCTCACAACTTGACAAACTACGGTTCGAATCCTGTTGGGAGGTGCCTACATTTAGCACCTAATAGTATTTCGAATAGGATTGCTCCTAATAGGAGGATACCTACGCTTAGCCCCAAAAAAAAAATTCCAAATGCGGATAAGACAAATAGCAAAATAGCATCACAACAAAACAAAATCTATGCCACTATTTACATATTACGTGTGCGTAGTACTGACTTAAATATATACTTATACAATCTAGTGATCTCCAAAGTCCAAAAATAAGAGAAACAATTACATTAATAAAATAAATTTGTAACTACGCAGATAAATAATGCATGGTTTTATAGAGCCAAAATCCCAATTACATCACAATAAATATGCACGGGGCAAACACTAATTTAAGTAAATGCCACACAAGTAATATGGATATAAATTGGTGAATGCTTTAGTCATGTAGAATTGTAGATAACGAGTATACATGAAACGTGTAAGACATTGCCAAAATCTGAGGATGGAACTGACCCAGTGGTTGTTAACATCTGCATCAATTTTTTCTGGTTGGTACGGCAACGGTCAACAAGATCAATAATCACCTCATCTTTTACAGCCTACAAGCAAAAGAAGAGCAGTTAATCCTCTTATTTACTCTCAAATAAAGAGGCTAGACAATTGTTCAACATACTGCTCGATCACTAGGGTTCACAGCCTGTAGCATGTCGCTCAAAAGCTCCATAACATGCCGCATAGACTCCAAGCTTGACAAACTACAAATTTAAGGACAAGACACTAATAAGCTTAAGACGGTTGGCAGGAAGAATTCAAGTCCCAAAAGCGTAATCACAGAAGACAAAATATAATAGCATAAGCGAGGGTGAAGATGCAAAAGTGATATTTCACCTTAAACTTTCGATCTCTGTTGCCATAGTTTCATCAAGTCTCTTTGAAGAATTGCTTGGCATACCATATCCAGCTTGCATGTGTCTTAAAGCAAGATGGGCAGGAGGAGGAGTGAATATGGGAGCTGCATCTGGAGAACGCTTGGGGAACACTACACCAGATCTCTGCCATTCACATAACGCAATATAATATGATCTACTGGTCATGAAGAAATTGAAGTTACAAGGCACATTAGTTAAAATTATGACAGGTTGTACGGCTGTAGCGGACAACATTGACCGATCATGAACATGATTTTTTTCCCCAATCCCCTAAATTGACCTTCCTTGGTTTTCCAGAAATGAAAACAAAGAGACCAAGCATTCATTTATCTTTTGCTGTTTGTGCACAGATACATTATTAGAATGTAGGTGTTTTTAACATATAAATATCATTAGCAAAAAATGATTAAATTTTAGCATAAACTTATAAATGTTGTACTAGGATGAGGCAGGCAAAAAAAGATTCGTCAAAATGATCGCACATCAAATGTCCAAATTGTGGAACAAGACTAAAATGAAAAAGCCATATCCCAGGGCTTAGAGATGTATGCCATAGAAATGTAGATTAAGATCTGTGAAGCCATTAGCCTGGGGGTCTCAATCTTAGAATGATGCAATAATCGGATGTTATGATGAATAGGGAAAGGCTAATCATTCTACATAATATCCAGTCCAATCCAAATTAATTTCAATGTTCTAATAGAGCATACCACTCTGGACAATCAGTTAACTTCTTCACACACGGCTAAAGCATTACTGAGAAATCTTGTTGAGTAGTCAGCCTTATACTTACCTTTAATTCCTCATATGCCCAATAGTAGTGAGGATGCTTTCCACCTGGCCCACCAAATGCCTCTTGCCACGAGTCTAGCAGTACTAAAATCTTATCCCTCACTTGCATGTCTGTCTGAAATATCACCACATATATTTCAAGTTGGATGAGATAAGCCATAAAGGAAAGCTGAGAAGAAAATGTTGCCTCAGAACAGTGATTAAACAACAATATTGAACAAATAAAAGGCATCAACGCTAAAACTCTGTCGTGACTTGTGATGGTAAATACCACCAATATGTTGTGACTGTATAAGTATTTTTTGCAATATTAAATCCCAAAGGAATCAATACAGAGATTTTAATCCGATATTTAATTGGGTACCACTCAAATATATTTAGCTTGAAATGACCTAATGATCAAGCAGATTATCATTGGGAAGAGATATCATCCGACCCTGAGATCAGATGCTAGGCAAGTGAAAAGAGGCATCTTAGTCAAAAACTGTAATATGCTCCAAGCAACAGTAGGTGAAACACTGTAGTGAGCAGGGATCATATACAGCATCTGAAATAACACCAGCGTCCTGCTATTAAAATTACATTTATTATTCTAGAATGATAAATCAATTAGCAGATTTTAGGCAACATAGAGGGACAAAAAGCGCACGATTTGTGTAGAGTAAAAGGGTATAGTGATGAAAGAGAAAATTTAACAGCAGTGTCAAAGTACCGGTGAAATTCATTAGATCCTTAAGTACAACAGATTTCAGCTTGATTTGATTGTCACAAGGAAAATCCTCAAGAATGCAGTAACAATTTGATGCAGGAATCAAATACACAAATCTTATCTCCGCATTCCATCTGACACCACCTTACCTTCTTCCTCACAATTTTGATCATCTCATCCAGTATATTCCTCTCAGCAATTTGAAAATGAATATAATCACCACAATTCTTCACCATAGTCTCCAGAAGCTAGAAAGTAGACGTGCAGAAATTGTAAATCAAAATCCATGGACATACAAATGCATGTAAATGAGAAAAGCAAAGTTAGTGCAAACAGACTACCGTCAGAGAGAGTAATTGAACTTTGGAGCTCTTATGCTGTAATCTCTTCTTGACGGCTTTGACCACATCTTTTGGCTGCCTGAGAAATTATGCATGTACTTGTCAAAAACCGGACAGAATCTTAACTGTTGTTTTCCCAAAGACTATATATCAGACACAAAGGGACAAATTCATTAACAGTATGAAAAATTAATGGTTCTAGCATTTTGCAGCCAACTAAATTATACGATGAAAAAGTTCAGGAAAGAAATAAGTACATAATTTCTGACAGAAGAATAACTGGTTTGTACTATATTCCAGCTCATGTATTTGCTTATCCAACAAAGGGGAAAGCTTTTTCAATCCGAAGCGAACCGACAAACTATTATTTAGTCGCTGTTAAGTCGCTGTTACACACAAAATTTTTCTCCCACGAAGAGCTGTTATACAAGATATGCATACAACATCACATAAAATCATCTGCATGAACTATCACCATTAAAAACAAGGAAATTATCCGAATAACAAAATTCTGAATTCGAATTATGAAGAAGCATAAATATTATCAAGATGATCAAAGTCAACCCAGAGAAGAAAGAAACAGAAACTCAATTCTTCTGTTCCTTAACAAATTACCAGCGATTGGAATTGACAGAGTCACATATCTCGATATTCATGGTCCAGTCAGGGCCCATGAGAAGATCGCTGGTCGCCTTCTCCACTGCTACAGTAGCTGAAGAAGAAGACATGCTTCCCTGCTCCTTTCTGTCTCTCTCTGTTTCCGAAGTTCCAAGAGAATGGAAACTTATGCCTGTTTGGCAACTGCAAGCTTTAGAAAAAAACAAAGAAAACCCCAAAGCTCTATTCTTCCCGCAAAACACAGCTCCGTAGTTGTTTGGATGAGTGGAAAATTCTGAAACCCTAGCTAAGAAGGCATGAAGTGCCTTTTCCCTCCAGCAAAACAATCAGAATTTGTGGTTTGTTGCTTCGGAAGAATATAGTTTCTCTCTCAGCTAAAAGAAAATCACATAAGCTTTTCTATCTTTCATTCCTCTTTTTTTCCGGAAATTTCGTAATTTTCCTTTCTCTGTCTTTACTGTTTTGCATAGAAAAGCAAGAAACGTTCCGAGTCTAGTGTGCTTTTCTCTGGTCGACGACGCATGCGCACTCGCTCTTCCAAGTCTCTCTTACCACGCGCCACGTGCCCGGTTTAGTTGTTAGTCATGTTTTGCTGATGATCAAGTTTTTTTTTTTTAACCAAAATAGAAATTCGGGTTGAAAATCCTTATTTTTTATAGTATTAAATTATTTTTTATGCATTCTTGGAAACTTTATTATCAAAAAATAACTTTTTAATTTCAATTATTTGATGCCTAATATATAATTATTAGATCCTTTAGTTGTATCATAACCGATAAAATAGTCATTCATATGGAAGACTATATTAATTATACTCCCTCTTTATAGACATTGATGCTTATGGCATGTTCCTATATATAAGAGACACTTAAAAGTTGTCTCTATTTTTTATATTGATTTCCTATTTTACCCCTATTATTTTTTGTCTCCAATTCATACTCTCTCTCCTCCCACTTCTCTTTCTTTTCATAATTTAATTGTTCTCTCTCATACTCTCTCTCCTTATTAATAGGGGCATTGTGGAAAAACATTATACTTTTTGCACATTAATGTTCTCAACTAATTTTAACTGTTTTTTTATTAACGTAATTTGGTTATTTGTCTCTTATAATAAGGAATGGAGGAGTAGATAGTACAAAATTTTATAGAAGAAATTAAAAAATGAATTCAAATATTAAAAAGAGTAAACCTTAATTTAATTGGAATTAGCATATCTCATGCTCTGACAATTATAGAATTGATTATTTTTAATTTAAATTTTTATCTTAAATAAAATATGATGAGAAAACATGAAACACAAACGTAAATTTGCGAAACAGAATGTAAGAACCAAAAATATAACTATAATAGATATCCAAACTACTACCTCCGATCCTTAATATAAGACCTTATTTAACTTTTATTTTAGTCCTAATTATAATACCCAAATCCATTTTGTCTTTCATATTTATGTATTTTTTTAGGGTAGTCCCTCTAATAATAGTAGTTCTAACCAATAAACTTGATTAGCAAAGATATTTTAGGAAAGATAACATCTATTTATTACAAATAACTAACTTAACTTATTTTCTTAGTATCCTCAAATTAGTCAACTAAGTCTTATAATTAGGACCGGAGGTAGTATTAGTTATTAATATAAAAGTTAGATAATTAATTTGAATATATTAAGCAAATTAGTTAATTTTTTTTACACTACCCCAATCCTTAATATAAGACCTCGTTTGACTTTTATTTTGGTCATAAATATAAGACTCTAACTCACTTTGTTTCTCATATTTATTCATTTTTTTCCTAAGATATTTCTTTTAATAATGGTAATTCTAACCAATAAACTTAGTTAGCAAGGATATTTTAGAAAAGATAATACATATTTATTACAAATAACTAACTTAACTTATTTTTTTAATCTACTCAAATTAATTAACTAATTCTTATAATTAAAACTGAGGTAGCACTAATTAGTTAAGTTAGTTATATATTACAAAAATATGTGCTGATATTCTTTTAATCATGTGCATTAGGTAATTAGAATTATTTCTTCATGACAACCCCTTACAAGAAATATTTTGAAAAAAAAAGAGAGAGAGATAAAGTGGCTTGAGTTCTTATATTTATGACTAAATTTAACTCTTAAACTAGCTCTTGTAATTAAAACATCAAACCTAGCGGGGAAATAAAAATATACAACAGCTAGCAGCACAAGCAAGACCGTGGCAATAAATCAGGGCGAAGAGGAATGGTGTAGGAAAATAATGAAAATGTGAACTATATTTTAGTTGTTTTACAAATTTATCTTACAAGGAGGATATTCTCATTCCTGTCAATTTTTTAGAACTAACTATTTTATAATTAAATTTAGTTTTAAACGTGTTTCTAGAACTATCTTTTAAGACAATTGTACTTATCATCTTGACTTTTGGAACTTTTTAAAAAGATTAGTGAATATACAAAAAAGTAAATGAAAATGAGCTGGACAAGAAATAGAGCACGCCCACTTTTAAAGATTGATTAATAGCGATGTAAACTTTCGTTATGGATATGAACTTTCAAATATATCTCGAAGTTTTAATCAATCTCCACCTATAATGTATGGGGTGATCTTAACCGAGAAGAGTAACTTTTGTATTATTGGTTTTACCAGTAATGTTATTCAGGTTACATTCAAAATATATATATACACTCGTCCGGTCTCTAATATAAAGCCTTATTGTTGAGTTGATTTAGTCTTAAATATAAGATATATTTCTCATATTTATCAATTTTTTTAAATTACACTTATAAATGCTTTTTCAATTATAATCAAGTAAAAAAAATGAAGGAAGAATATTAAGAAAGATGATTATGATATTTTTAAAAAAAAACATGTTATATTTTTTATAATTAACTAAATTTTTTAATCTAATCAAATTAGTTAAATATGTCTTATATTAAGAACCGGAGGAGTGTCTGGAGCAAATTGTATAAAAGCATTTAGGGAAATAGTTGAATTATTATCCAATAGATTCTTCTCCTTTTTTTGGTCAAATCACTTGATATTTAAGACCCAAGTTAGAATGATTAATCTTAATTGAATATGGTAGAACTATGAAAACAATAAAACTCTTCTAATAATAAATTTTTAACATAGTTATGCGCTGAAGCCTCCTGGGCATAATGATCCTCAGCTTTGAGGGCGTCGTCGCACAGTTAGACGTGTGCATGAGTAAGTCTGGGCAAAATAGATATCTCAATTTCTTTCCGTTGTATCAAAAAAAAAAAAAGATATCTCAATTTATTTTATTTCTTATCTCCGATTCTAATTATAAGATCTCGTTTATAGATAATAAATGAGATTTTATAATTAAAACCGAAAGTAGTATATTATATTTTCAAGTAATTTTTATGGTGATTACACATTTTAAGAGATTTAAATGTAGTTCTAATATACATGATTAACAAAGATGTTTTAAAAAAGATAACATATATTTATTACAAAAAACTAATTTAACTAATTTATTTAAAATTTGTAAATTAGTTATCTAACTCTTATATTAAAAAATGGAGGTAGTATTATATAATCATAGATTAAATGTAAGATTTATTTGATTAATTGTCATGTATGAGTTATGCATTAACTAAATTAAGGATAGGAGAAAATATTGTGTTACTAATCATCCGTGGTTTATTTCATTTTTCATTATATTTGTCGAAACAGCATTCAATCAATAATCAATAATTACATCTAATATCTAAAACTATTTTTAAACGTGAGAGCAAGAAGGTATACGAAATAACGAACGGCCTTGCTAATAATGAGAGAAGAAGACAGTGTTTTATACTGAGAGAGAGAGAGAGAGAGAGAGAGAGAGAGAGAGAGAGAGAGTAAAATATAGTGAATGGGTTTATAACGGCCAGCTTTGTGTTGTTAATTTATAATGATATAATGGGGCAAATGAGTAATAGAAAAGAGCCAAACTTTGGTCGACAATTTTAGGTATTTCTTCCCGTTTTTGAATAGCCATATGGTTCGGTCGCCTCGAGAATGAAAAATATAAATTATTACATTATTATAAATAAAACAAATAAAATACTCCTAGATATTACGGTTCATTAAATTTTGTTTATTGAGTGCTCAGTGCTTATATTTATCTTTTTATATTATTTAGTCCCCGGGCAATTTATTATTATTTTGTTTAGAGTGCTCTCTTGCGCAATTTTTGAATTTTTGATAGAGCCTGGTTAATTAATTAATTAAGAAAGCCCACGCTTTATGCCTTGTCAGGTCTCTTTGTGTTATCAGTCACGCGCTAGTACAACGCGTTACTCACTTACTCTTTCCATTTTTATTGTTATCATTACAAATTATAAAACAAAAGACAAAAACAAAAATTTTGCCGAGTAAAGGCTATGGATAATGCTTCAATGGGGCTGTTTGCAAAAAAAAAAAAAATTCATATATTTATTTTATAGTTTGTAAATTACAATTAAAAACTTATTTATAAGTTATTCCAAACAGACTTAATGAAACTGATCATTTTTTTTTTTGGAAAAAAGGGTCAAGGGAAGAATGAAAGAGGACATCTAATGACTTCTTTCCATGCTTATAAGAAGGTAATATAATTATTAGAATAATACTACTTCATGTTTTTAATATAAGAACTGGTTGATTAATTTAAGTAGATTAAAAATTTATTTTAGTTAATTATTTATAATAAATAGATGTTGTTTTTCTTAAAACATCATTGTTAATCAATTATCTTTTAATAAAACATTTAACATGTAAAGCTATTACAAGAATTATCTTAGAAAAATTTGATAAATATGAGAGGGAAATAAATTGAAGTCTCATATTTAGGACCAAATTAAAAAATCAAAATATCTTTTATATTAAGAACTAGAGGTAGTACTACCTCCGGTCCTAATTATAAGACCCCATTTGACTTTTTGTTTGGTCCTAATTATAAGACCCCAATCTATTTTGTCTCTCATATTTATGCATTTTTTTCCAAAATAATCCTTCTAATAATGATAGTTCTAGCCAATACACTTAATTAACAAGGATATTTTAGGAATGACAACACTTATTTATTACAAATAACTAACTTAACTTACTTCCTTAATCTCCTCAAATAAGTCAACTGGGTCTTATAATTAGGACCGGAGGTAGTATAATTTTGTGGTAGGCTCAGATTGATCTTGATGATTTAAAATGGGAAAATTACTATATGCTTATAATAAAAAAGTAATATAATTACTAAAAAGTCTTATAATATATGAATGATAAATTCTAGCAAGAGAAATAACAACAGATTCCACATTGCTTCCTCATAATTGAATTATATTCTTCTTTTCACATCATATTGATTTCCCCATTTAAATTTTGAGAATGTTACTATTCACTTTTTCTCATGCATTATTTAAAAATCTATGAATAAGTTGCATTGCTGATGATAT